TCTCTTCTGTATATCCAAATTTATTATAAAGATATATTTGGGAGCTCCTACATTATTGCAGATCAGTTTCTTCCAGGCTACTTTCTGGAAACTACCTCACATTTTTAGATAAAGCTTCTTAATGGAGAAGTGTTCCCAACTAATCAACTCATTCATGCTTAGTCCTACTTCCTCAATATAGCTTTTAGCCTTAAAAATCTTCAGAACCACCTATGATACTTGTGTTGGAATAGCATCCCAGATTGGATGTATCTTCCCATAGTATATATAGAGCCATTGCACCCACAACCTGCCTTTCTTCTTGCATAAGTTCCATAAACCTGCATATGGCTGCCTTGTTCCAAGTATGTAAATCCTATACATTGAAGCCCCCTGCATTCCTTGGATAACACATTTTCCCCAAGCTAGTAAGGCCTTCCTTGAGTTCTCCACTTCATCGGTCCATAAGTAGGTTCTACATACAGTCTCAATCTTCTTAATGATCTTTTTCGGCAGTACAAAGATCTATGACCAGTAAATCTGAATGAAAAATAGCACAGTTTTAATGAGCTACAGTCTGCCTGCGTAAAACAAGTACTTGGAAGTCCAAGAGTTGATTCTTCCTAGAATTCTCTCAATTAATGGTTGAAATTATATGATCAAGATCCTATTTGTACTCAGGGGCACCCCTAAAATACTTAAAAAGGGAGTTCTCCTCTAGAGAATCCCAATGAATCTAGGATCTCCTGTTGTACAGTTTGGCTCATACCACCAAAATAGATTGAACTTTTCTAAGTATTTGTTGTCAAACCCAAGGCCATTGAAAATCTTTTGAAACAATCAAACATCATCTAAACATATATGGTATCTCCTCTGCAAAACAAAGAAGATCATCTGCAAACCCCAACTGCACTATGTTCAGTTAATCAAATTTAGGGTGATGATTGAAGTCTGGTTTGGTTTGTAGGGTTTTCAGCATCCTTGATAAGTACTCCATGATTAAAACAAACAGATAAGGTGACAAATATGGATCCCTTTGTCTTAGTCCCTTCTTGGCTCTAAATAGTTATGTTGGGCTGCCATTTATCAAGATAGAGTATGAGACTGTGCAAACATATTTCATGATCCAATTGACAAACACAGTAGGGAAATTCAGGACTGTGAAGATTTTCTCTAAAAAAGGCCATTCCACAGAGTCATAAGCCGTATGCATGTCTAGTATGATCATGCATCTAGGTGATACCCCTTTCCTACCATAGCCTTTCACTAACTCATGGTTTAGTATAATGTTGTTAGTGATAACTCTCCCTGGAACAAAAGCTGATTGACTATTATCGGCCAATGCATCCATAACCTCATGTAGTCTATTTGTTAGGATCTTAGATATAATATTATACAGTACTGTGCAACATGAAATAGGTCTGAATTCTTTTACACTTGAGGGATATTTTACCTTTGGTATCAGAGAGACTGAGGTGACATTGATTGGCAAGTGCATCTCTCCGGCAGCAAAGAACCTGGTAACTGCATTTGTGATTTCTTGCCCAATAGTCGGCCATGTCCTTTTAAAAAATAGGGAATTAAACCCATCACATCCTAGAGCTTTCTTATCATCAATTCTACACATTGCATTGTAAACTTATGCAGCAGTTACAGGTTTAATGAGCTACAATTGTTACTTCCTTTCTAGGATGTTACCTTCCTTCATCACCCCCGGTTGAATTGCTAGCAAGCCACAGGCAGAAAATCCCAATAACTTTTTGTAGAAGCCTATAACTTTATGTTCAATGTCCTTTTTAGCTTGGATAATTTCTCCTTATGAGCTTATCAGCTTTCAGATGTTGTTTTGACTAACTCTATTCTTCATGGAGGCATAGAAGTATGCAGAATTAGAGTCTCTAAGTTTTAATCATTGAATCCTAGACTTATGTTATTAAATACATTCCTCAATTGAGCCCCATTTTTCAGCTGCTTTCTCAGCTCTTTTTCTTCTTCAAAGATGTTGTAAGGTGCATTGCTATCTCTTTCTTTTCCTGGACGTCTTTCAACCTTTGTCTAGTATTATTAACCTTTGCATTTGTACCCTGGAACTCTGTGGTATGCAAGGTTTTGATGGAATTCTTCACCTTCTTTAGTTTTTCTCATATTGCCTTCATACACTATGCTTTGGAAGTCATCATGATCTGCAATGTGATTGAAGAATTTGAATGGTTTGGCCTTCTTTGGGAACTCTTCCGTTTGGGTACTCAGTGATGAGTGATCTGAGAAGTAAGGATCCATTACCAACATATCTAATTGAGTCATCTGGATCATCCGTTCTGCATTTTCTAGTGCCCTGTCAATTATGCTAAACACATGACTATTTGTCTAGGTGTAGTTCCTCCCCACTGCTCCGATCTCATCCATGTTTGTATCATCAAGGAACTCTTGAAAGTCTCTAGTTTCATTATCCTATACAGGGTTTCCATTTGTTCTGTCTGCTATATGTAGGACACCATTGAAATCTCCCATGCATCGCCAAGGTCTCTGTTATTGTTGATGCCAACTTTTTAGGCTAGACCATAATCTCTTCCTATCTTCAGTATTATGTAATCCATAAACAACTATGAAACTGAATTGCTACCTTGGAGAATATACTAGAGTTTCACCATGTATAGATTGCTCCTATAGATCTAGCACATTGAACTGTACTTGATCGGGATCCCAAAGGATCCATATTCTTCCTTTCCAATTTGCATTATAGTTATTACACCAGTGCCACTGTGAGGCTATTTCTTTATTATTATTGTGCTAGCATATTGTTCCTTAACCTTATGCTCTAGGATTGCAAGCATCTCCATATTATTATCCTTTATGAACTTCTTTAACTCCCTATGCTTATAACTCTTATTAAGAACTCTCACATTCCAAATAGTAAGCTTTATTTGCAATTGATTGGTACACTTCCCCTATCTCCCATGTTGCTACTCGTACCACATATCTCTGTACTTGAACAGCTCCTTGTATTCAGTTGCCCCTTATTCCCCTTGAGCTGATTGATCCATTCATTACATCCATCGATTGCTCAGTGTTTGGTTGTGCATTTTTTGCCGCAGACCTGCTTTTAACAGCCTGCCATCCTTCCTCATTGTTTGTATTGATAGTTGGAGCTGGTGACTCTGGAATCTTATGCTTTGCAATTTGCATTTGGACCCTTTTTCATTTTGTCTACTCACTTCAACTTGCTGAATCACCTTGTCCTCTTTTTGGTGCCCTCACGCCCGCAGGATCACAATTTGCTCCTGTGTTGCTGCCAATTTTGAAGATCCAACCTCTTTACCTTAATTTACTTTTCATTCATGTGTTTGCTTGTTGTGCCGAATCTGTTGAGGTTGTTGATTTGTTCTATTATGGCAGCTATGCCCCAACTACATACACGTGGTACAATACGTTGGTTTCCAGCCATTTTTAACCACCTGATCAAACTATTTCCCATTGAAATCCATCAATTTCACCTTTGTGGGCAGCGTCCTAATGATGTCCATTTCATCCGCATCTAATATATAGCATGTATTATTTCTTAGGTAAATTTGTATACCGTGGTTAATTAATGGACTATATCTTTTGGACATAATGTAAAACGAAAAATGTATATAAAACCCTTCTATTGTTTATTATTCCTTTTTGTTTATATTAGTCTCAGAATATGCGTGTTACGCGTATATCTCATATGAATGTTGAGTATAAGATTTTAAAAAATTATGTAAATAATATTAAAATTTTAACTTCTTTACTAAAAATTAAAAGTTACTATAACGTCTAACGTCTATTATTATTATTATTATTATTATTATTATTATTATTATTATTATTATTTGTGTGAAGCCAACACAATTTATTAATACTCCATATGATGTGGCTAAACTACACTAAAACATACTTACGTGTTATTTAGTACTTATATTTATTCTAATTTGAATTTCTATAGTATATTAAAACTGTCTGAAAAAATATTTATGTGATAAGTGTCATAAGGAACTATTCATCAAATATGATTGTCAATTAAAAATTTTGTT